CCGAAGCAATAGTGTCCGCACCTTTAATTGACTTTTTCAAGAGAAGTCTGGACACTCATAGAAGCATACTAGAAAAGGAATAACATAGGTCGTAGGCCTCCTGTCCTTACCATACAAATCTGAATGTTATTTAACAGTTAAACATGTGGTGGCATTGGATCATAACCACACAATCCTCAAAGCTGAACACGAGACTACTCGGAAAATAGATATTCAATATTTAACGCGGGGAAATACCTAGGAATAGAGAAGGCGGGAACAACGGATTGAATGAATTGAAGTTGATCAAATGACACGGCTCTTCCATGCAGGCGTGGTCCCTACTGAATGTTACCCTGTTTCTTTTATCTATATTAAATATATTATTCTGCCTCTAGCCTAAGCTTGTTCTCCATCATCTTGGTAATTGTTACGATGCAGTGAGTTGGTGTAGATGATGATGTGATTTGCACGTAAGATCTTATAGATTACGCAGTTACTTCATAACAAATCTACAATTTTAGGATTAGGGCTATTATTCGAGCAGTGCTAATGTCATAGTAGACCATAATTTTACATTGCTAAGCCAGACTAAAGAAACGCAACCTCTTATTCTTAATCCTTATTTGCACTTTAACTTTCTTGATCGATATTTGCTTATGTAAACCCATTATTCTAATAGTCCTCTGATTATTGCTCATATGTATGATCGTAACACTATTTTGATTATTACTCATAATTTGCTAGCTCAATCGATAATAAAAATTAGGCAGTTACATCATAACAAATCTACAATTTTAGGATTAGGTCTATTATTAGAGCAGTGCTAATATCATAGTACACCATAATTCTACAGATACTTAAGGTTTTTGACGTAGCCACCAGGTGCTGGTTTATTATTCTTTCACAATGTTAAATATAGGATAGCTCATCCTTAAATTCAAATAGGCTTAGGTTAGCTCCATAGAGCATGCTTCAAACTCAATACTGGTCGATACAGAAGCCTGGGGAAGATTGAAAATGAGTTAGTGTCTGACCTGATATTTGCCGGTAAATCATTTCAGAGGCTTGCATATCGTGTGACAAAGAAAGTTTATCTTAATTTACCTAATGTTCTTGATATCTTAAGTACAAAATCCTGATCTAAAAGGTCAAAATTAGTTTTTGATTGAGATCAAAATCACTGCTTTTGGTAAATTTAAAGCATCACAATTCAGCGCAGTTTTATTATATAGAATTTAGTATAGAAGGGTAAGGTTACGTTTAATGTGTCTTAACCATCAAAGACCCAGTTTCCACTCTTCATAAGCATATTTACACAATGTGTCAGGCGTAAGAAGTTTCTTCAAATGGAGTTGCATTTTCTCAACTTCTTGTCAGTCTAGAGATCTCATGCAACTAAATATAAGTGGACAGTATTCTAGAAGGGACTGTGCGCTATTTAAAGAGAGTTATTTTGGATTCCTAACTCAAGCTCTTCAAAAATCTTACTGTACTTGCAATATATTCATTAATCAAGCCCCATATTTATACGACCCTAGAGGTAAAGTATGCATGGTCCGAATTGGAAAACACAAAACAACAACTGGACAAAACTTCTCTTTCAAGCATACATTGAAACTGGACTGTCTTCCCTTCAAAATATTCGCATCATATATTTGCTAGACCTCTTGATGAAGCCCTCGCTTGCAGTGACATAGTAGTCGCGAACACATCTGCATCCTACTCAGATATCAGAGGCCCCCCATATATTTAGATCACGTTAAGCTGAGTCTCGCTTCCCCTTCTCTTCTTTCAAGTCCATGGTTTGCAAACTGTCTGATAAGCTTGTAAAATATCATTTAAAATATTACCGTTTTTCAAGAAGGCACGAAACACAGAGTATCCAGTAAGACAAAATATTGCGTCTAGATGCAATCTAAAAACGACCTAACACCACAAAAAGGGGAAAGGAGTTAGTGACCAGTAAATATTGATGGTTAGAGCGATGATTTTAATCTACCTATGTTTGCGAGGCACAACATTTTGTCAGTTTTATGCTCTCTGTGACTAAGGAAAAGGCGATTAATCTATTGAGTTGGTTCTCCTATGTTTCGCTACTCAGAGTCATGTTTCTAGTTTTATGCTGGATTTGCCATTTTACTATAAATTGCTAACGAAGGCTTTTGCATTATGACATGGTGATTGGCACCAGATGAGAAAATGAGAATAATAAAAAATTATGTGATAAAAGATATAGCTGTTAGCGTTTCTTAACAGTTTACTTTCCTTCGATGTACTCATTGAACATTAACAACACGTAAATCTAGTTGCAAAGATGTGCAAAATTATACTTTTATTTATTTTCGTTGAATTATTGGATTTAACAACCCTACTTAGTAAGCATCTTATCTGTAAACCCGTGTTGTAAATTATTAATCATGATTATAGAAACTACTTGTACCTCCTCCTTAGTTAGAACTCACTTGAAACCAAAATTCGAATAGATTTTACCACCTACAAACCGGACTTAAGTTGATGCTTACCCGATTCGAATACGTTTTGTATTGAATAACAAAAAGCAGGTAAACTTCACAAAGAATACATAAACCGCTGTAAACTGAATAACTAAATGATAACATTTTGTATTTTTGGATGGTGCATAACATTACAAACTTATTGATTATAGTAGCTGTAGGTTAAAAACATCGCCCGCAGGTTATAGTTCTATCAACATTATATCCAGAATAAACTAATGTTACACCAGGATTACTGGATGAAACTAGTTCCTTTTTAACTAAAATAGAATCTTCGAGAACGACATTCAAAAAGGTGATTTTGAGACAGGAAACTGAGAACGACTGAAAGCTTCTTCCGACACCGAACAGGACATACGCTGGCTGGATAAATTAAACAAACAATAAGCATAACTTCGGTGATGGTTTCCCCTAAACTGGAAGAGAGGTAAGAAATTTTGCAGCTAAAGAACGGTATACTGACGCCAATGTTCAGGATATCAGAATAAGTTGCATCTAAGCAACCAACTAACGAGTTCAGAAATAAAATGGATAATTATAAGGGATACAACTTTGCTATATAATTCGCAAACCTTAAAGGCTTGGACAAATTATAGCTTTTTCAGTGATTGAGAATTATGCAGAAGTGGTTAAAAGTCAATCACAGTAATGGGCGACGTTATTACTTTTATTTTTTGTTCTTTTCATTGTCTTTGTCCAATAAGTATGCAACAGCTTAGGTTGATTGATTAAAAGTTGACCTCAAACAACTAAGCATATGTCAAAACAATAAAGCTTAAGTATTCATTCACTTCCTTACTTTGTGTAGACATTATGTTTCTTATTACCTTATAATGAATGTTGTTTATCTGAACAGGTAATCCGACGCTCCACTGTAACTACAGGAAGATCTAACTGGAGATCCACTCGCTACTAGTCTGGTTTCTTTTATCAAAAGAACAAGACTTACCGAAAGACACGAAAAGTATACACGTTCACACTAGCTGCCATATTTACATTTGTTGAGATTGGACTGTTTGGCAACGACTAGTGGAAGAGAAATACAACAATTATTCAACCGGAGCAAAACAAAGTTGGTAAGAAAGTACCATAATGAAAAATAAAGTAAACTTATTATATAGCACCACGAAAATTGAGTAGAAAGCTCCTTAAAACCAATATATTTGACACTACTGAATAAGTAGCGTCTACAAGTTTTAACCAAACTATCAGATTTTCTTGTTCTCTATACGCGGGTTTTTTTAATTTTTTAATTATTTTATTACTATTAGCTTTATGCAATATTATATTTTGGCACAAAATAGAATTCTCAGCACAAAGTATTTCAGCGAGTTTCCATTCCTTATTTTCTGGTCGATATTGACGATAAATAGTGAGCGATCGCCAGTTAGATATTAGCATTTCAGAAGTCGGCATCTGAACAATATTCATTCTTTTCAATGCGGATAGCCAACCATCACGATGTCTTCAATTTTAAATTTGTGTAACTTGTACAATGAAAGGTCGTGAACTTTTCACGAACACAAGTGAAGTATGAATGTGGAATCAACAATACGAACATGATTTGGATTTTGGTCCAAGTCTTCACGAAGACTCAAAAAATATTTAGTAGTTGGATAAATCTTAAGTTTTGATTTGTCAGCGATCGCTCACGGTATTTTGGCTTTGAACAGTTTACCGATAGTTTTAAATTAAAACTGTTTCTTTCTGGGGCTGTTGTTGTTGTCGATTGACGACTTAATTTTCCTTGCTAAATGTCAGGGCCCTTGATCGGTCATTGAGCCACTTTTGTACTTCCCTTTTCTAGTTTTTTTCACTCACATTAGTTGGGATGTTTTCCTATTACAAGAAGTAGTTTTTGGCTAGACGACAACCGCAACACTGGTAGATATTTTTAGTACCTCTGAAAAAAATGTATATGTAGTATTGTGTTAATTACATCAGATTCGTGAGTATTTATTTGGTGTTACTGAAAATGCTGGTCAGCCTTACACTCAAGTCGATTTTAGTTTGGACTAGTCCCAAGAAAAATCGTCCTGTAAACGACTTTGAGTGCTAAAAATAGTGATAAAGTATACGTTTCAAACTTTTTACTGAATGAATACAGTGTTTTCCCCAAATGAAGGATGTATCAACATAAGATTTGAGCACCACGTCAATAAAACCAAAACTTTTCAGTAGTAAAGAACAGGAGATGTTAAGAATATCGAATTTCGATGTTATTTAGAAGGGATGTCCTGTGACGTTGAGAACACATTACAGACACCTTAAGCTTTGAAACAAATGAACTGTTGTCTGCTCTCGATGAACAACTACAACTGAAAAGTAAGTGGCTAGTCATCCTCAGTTTCAGGAACTGCTTTCCACCAAAATCACCCATTATTATCCCACTTATACTCAAAGAATTACTTAAATCAATAAACTTTTTAATAAAAATGCAGTGAGAGGTCTTAAAATCTCAACTACAATTCTATAATTAAGTATTGAACACTGTACAAAGTTTTAGTTATTGATCAGCGAGAACTATGACCCACGAATATAAAGTAATTGATTAGATATTGTTGTCCAATGAACTCCTCGTATAGTAATTTTGGTAGCCAATATAACAATTACTACGCATCAGGGTAAATCGAAATCTAATAGTTATTTTTAAAGAAACAGAATTCCCTCTGATGTGAAAGCTCATGGGTGTTTAATGATCCTAGCATGGGGTTTCTGTAACCCAAATGCGATCATCATTTCGAGGCACTTCAAGAAAGGTTGGCCAGGTCGGACAATAAATAACTTCGCTTACTGGTTTCAGTTTCACATTATTTTGCAGTCATTTACCCTTGCATTTGTTTTATTGGCACTAATGATTATTGTTGTACATGTTATGGGCTACTCAAATTTAAATGCTCTTCCCTTCAGCGCTCACCCAGCGTGTGGATTTGCTATCGTTGTGCTTACTTTCTCAAATGTAGGTGGAAATAGTACTAATAGATGGTTCAGCCTATTGTTGCATGGTTTCTCTGCACGACCACTGGTCGTCAGAGAGCTATTACGAAATATGTTCATCAGGTGGCTGGAATTTTGTCCCAGACGCTTGCAGTCCCGACTGCCTTAATTGGACTACAGATGCCCGCTTTGGGATATGGTATTTGTTCATCAAAGCTATATTCGACACTTTTTGCTATTACTGTTGTTCTTAACGTCATCACTGAAATAACTCTTGAATTTATTGGATACAAAATCAGAAAAAATGTCAAAAGTAAGTGTGACGACCCTGATTTTACTTATTATTACGTTTATATTAGTTGTGCGGTCGTTTCTAAACATTCAAGCTGATGAAGCTGACAAACTGCTCGCTCGGATTGAAGAAGTGAGTTAAACTAAGGAGAGATTTTTCTATTTGAAATAGTTTTGTGCATTTTTGTTTTAATTCTTATTTCGTATCTCAGATAAAACCTATTGACATGATGAATCAGAAAATTAGTACGTTGTTCTACATCTCAGCTGTCTAGAAAATATAAGTCTAAACTCCTTCAAAGGATTGTAATTATTGACCCAAATTTCTTTAATTGGTTTAACGTTTTCGTATAAATATTACTGTATATTAGAGTAAAGCTTGATGACGATCTAATTGAAAAAATTGTTCGTTTATGTGTTACTCTAATTTTCACAATGGGAATCTTTAACAAATTTAGCCTCAAATCAGTAAATTTATTATTGTTAAAATAGAATATTCAGTCGTTTAGATTTATCGAACCGTAAATATCTCACTATTACTGTATAAGTCTGAAACAAACATTATCAGCTAATAAGTGTTTGCTTCTTAGCTTGTGAAGATTAAAGAAACCCGTTTGTTACAAAGTATAATAGTGAGTACACAAGATGTTTGAGTTTCTGGAGTATCTTAGCAGATTCTCATTTGCAGGCTTTAGTTATCAATACGTTTCTAGGTAACTACACACATTTTGGTCAGTCGTTATGTAATTAGGTAAAGAATGTTTTTGGTGTTTTGCAAAACTTTGTATCTTAAAAATGAATATTTGCTACCAGATGAAAAAAATCCCGATTTTGTATGTATTTTATGTACAAAACAGTTGCAGCAATTTGACAGAATAAATTACTAATATGTTAATTTGTGGTTTATTTAACAGCTAGCGTGTTTACACTGTTTTTAAAGCTACTTGGCACACTTATTTTAGACTAGCTTATCATATGGTACCAACCAATATATGTGCCAGTTAACTTCGTGGGCTGCATTATTTACAAGATCGTCTGTTTACGATCATTTATAAGCCCTACTACGTTAAATAAACAAACAAATAAGTAGTATAATAACTATTTATACACAAACCACCATGTAAAAGCGTGGTTTTCTAAAAAAATTTCTAAATGTTAGATCATTTATATGAACATAAGACTGCCGATTGAGTTAAAGTGATGTGGAGCCTTTGTTCTTGAGAACTCTAGAACAACAAAAATATAAATATTTTAAATCAAAAAACCCCAAGTGAGTGATACCATTCATATTACAATTAATCCTGCAAGATTTTGAGATAAATGTTGAGACGTCTGGCAGACGGATGTAAACAACAACTAGAAATTTTATAAGACAAAGGACTGGACAACAAAACTTTCCTAGAGCGACTTTTAAATGTTCTGAGCCATCATCTATCTAAGGTAAATCTCGGAGTAGTAAGACTGGTAAACTTGCAAAATTAACTGCTAAAAGCATTTTCGTATGATTATCACTATGAAAAAAACACTATAAGGCGTTTGTTAAGCAATTTATTATTTATTTTCAGGATCCAAAACGTGGAGCTACATTTTTAGAACACTATAGAACAGAACTTGTAAGTTGTCACAAAATTTTCTGATATCTATTTGATTTCTCTCAAGAAAATAAATTTTGTGAAGCATAAATAGCAATTTGCAAATAATGAACACCTTCATTTTATAGTTTGGACAGTTAATTGTGTTTGGTTGTTGTAATAAGTTAGTGTCCAGAACAAAATGGTACCTTCTATTGGCTTTTCAGTAAATTCATGCACAGTTTTCTGTAGCACATTTTCCAAGCCCTAATTAATTTTGTAACTGAAATTTTCAGAAACAATCAAGACCTATCGATACTAGTACACTTCAATCATCCCACATAAGTGAGTTCATCCATCTGTAGGAACGGTAAACTTGCATAAGAACTGAAAAACTTCTATCACATTGTTTCTGTGTGTTGCGTTTCAGTTTTATCTGCAATTATATAAATAATAACGGGATTAATATCGGAATGCCGGAAGCATATTTGAAAGAACGACTACTACGTTGCACTTGCAATGTACAGTTTACATTCAACGACGTAATTGATTAGCAAAAGGGTAGCATAGCAATGAGATCCCCTCTTGGTTCATTACTAGCAGATTTCTTCACGGCCAGTCTAGAAAACATTCGACTTAAAACGACTATCGAAAACTCACTTGTACAAGAGGTACATAGATGATATTTTTATTATTTGTGACAACAAATATGGTTTGAGTCACCTTCTGAAAACATTTAATAACTGTCACTCAGCAATAAATTTCACACTTGAAGTTGAAAACAAACTAAATGTTCACTTTCTCGATGTGGAAATGACAAGAAAACAAGACGGAACTCTAAACAGATCTATCTATAAGAGACCCAAGTTTCCACAGATGGGTCCCCATTAGTCGAAAACGAAACCTCATAATATTACTCGTTACGAGAATGCAAAGTATTTGTAGTCCTGGTGTCTTAGATGAAGAACTGGGCCTCTTGAAGGGAATACTTGTCAAAAACGGGTATCCTTTGATATACATTGACAAGAACATGAGACTGAAACCGCCTAAAACACAAGTAACTTCAATTGAAAAGGAAACACTACGTGAACTTCGACTTTAAGGGTGATAGAGCTTCAAATGTCTTAAAGAGGAGAATCTCTGGTTCATCAAAGAGGACTTTCTTCGCATCAACGTTGCGGATAATATTCTCTAGCCGATCACCGTTCATCAATAATCTTAAGGACAAATTATCTCATCTGACCAAATTGATGTGCATCTACTAATTTACCTGCCCATGTGGAGTCAGGTCGTTCGATGCGTAATTTATCCAAAAAGAACGTTACCCGGCGTGGCTAAGAAGAGGCGGAAACGGCCCAATAAGAATTTAACAATCGAGCGCTTTGTGAACATAGGTCACTCAATCAAGACGAACTCTGAGTTCAAAGTCATCTACAAGGTAAGTAGAAATCTTCCAAAGTCTGTTATATTGCATCTTCTTAACACTGCTGAAGCAATAGCCATACATCTGCGCAAACTAGAATTGTGTGTCCAAGACAAATCGGTACAACCTCTTCCTTGAACATGGTCTTAATGTCTTATTTTTCTCTCTTCACATTATCTGCTTCCCCTTCCATCTTCTCCTAAACCTTCTACCCCCCTATCGGTTTATTTCTGTTTCTGTGCTCCTCATGATTACATTTCATCTCAATTTCACCATTTTATCTTATCGTGCTGAGCCATCCTTTCCCAACCATAATTTCCCTATCTATCTTTATGATGAATATTTAAATCCTTAACAATCAAACTATTATTAGTTTCCGTTTTAAAAAACTTTTCAACACCTTTGTCTATTCTACCTCACTGTTACCACGTCTAGCAGAATTTTATTATCATTAATATTGTAATCATTATCATCCCAAAAATCACATATATATATTTGCGATTGTACAACTTTGAAAATGAATTCACCGAAAGGAGAAGCCTTTGCTGAACCAATCTTTCTTATTCAATGTTTCAATGGGTGTATTCCGTTTAATAAATGTGATTGATAGAATTCGTTTACTACTGAGTAGACGGGAGGATATCGGTAAATTTAGAGTTTCTAACTGTGCTATTTCAGCAGAAACAAGTATTTACGGAAGGTTTAGAGGATAAATAATTTTGTTTAGTATAAAAAAGCCACATCCACCAATTATTCCCATTATTATCCCATTATTTTATACAAATTACATTACCACGACTATTTTTTTCGCCCTGGTTACATAACTCTCACCTGACGGGTTATAATTATTTTTCCTAGAATCAAAGGTCCAAAAGAGGTGTACCAAAAGAAATTACCAAAAACCACACAGTAAGTTCACTTTATTTAGTCAAACGTATTAGTGTTGCAGGTTGATCGTATTATATTTGAAAAGTCAAGCTTATCCTACATGTACCTCAATGATGGCTAATTATTTCTCTAAGCATATGATTAGAAAAATAGAAGGTACCGTTTAATTAATTTTAACATGCCAATCAAGTTACAAAAAACTACTTAAAAGAGGAATCCATCTCATATATATATGATAAATTATAAGCTAACGATTAATTGTACTAGTATGTGGAGAATTGTAGACTAAGGGGCTCTCATAGTTTAGATCATGAATTGATCACAGCCAAATTATATTTAAGAACCTAGGGTGATGCGACAGTTGTTTCGTCATAATAAGAGATTCCTAAGCAGTGTGCACCCCTGACGACTCTGTATCCTGGAAGCGAACCCAGGGTATTTGATCTATGGCACAAACCCTTAACCTATAAACCACTGAACCAACATCCAACTGTGTATGTGTCATACCTCAGCCATTTCCTGCTGTGGATAACTGTCTCACACCTAAAATGACTGAAATACACTAGTCACAGCTTTTCACTAGAACTCCAGTAGCGACCGAAAGTCCTGGGCTTGGTTTTTTGATGCATACCACTGAGTAGTCTCATACTAAAAAGAAACAATTATCTGGTGCTTCCATATTCTTAACGGTGATCTCACTTAAATCAGTTCATGACTTAAACTCAGAGAATTATTGTATGTTTGTTGGAATTTGAAGTTATGTGGAGTTGGACTACATAATTTTTAGGTAATAATAACTAGTCAAATTTTAACAATAGACAATTATGAGTTCACCTATGTTACCACATATGTATGATCGTATAATATTTAAAGATGAACTCTACGACAATAATCACTTCACTTGATAAAAGGAGATTTAATGACCTGTGGGGTATTATATTACTGTCTATGAATCACACGACCTGTGCTCCTCCAGGAGGGCTAACAGGCGATGATTTACAGCTTGTAATTATGTAAAATCCACGTCTTGGCTAAATTCTTATAGAGTAGCTGTAATTCGTGGATAAATTATTTCACCAACACCAACCAACGTACGCTTGACAAGTTATCGTTAGCATCCATATACAGTGTAAAACTACTATTTCGGAGGGTTGTATTTCAGAACTCTGCTTTCCATTCATCTAACATTTGAACCTGGTTTTGGATTATTAATAGTGACAATGATCAATTTGCTTCCACCTTTAAGTACCTGCGTCATTCAAATGAGCTGTATATAATTAAAATTGTGAAATAGATTTCATGTATTCCGCATGCGTAATAGCATTATAACTAGTAAACGAGTATCTTTTTTTCCCATAAATGGATTATCATGACACTATTTAATTAACATATTTGTAACCTTTCAAAAAATTATCTTAGTCATAAATTATTCAGTTGTTGTACTGTAGAAAATATTACAATTAAGAATCAGGCCTTTCAAAGAAATCCCTATTTCAACGGTTTTTCTTGAAAATTCATATGGACTCATCTCTCAAATGTATTTGTTCATCAGCATAAGACATATTGGATACGCCTTATACTTTACTGTAAGTCAGTTAAACACCACTTAGAGGCTGATGCGTACTTTAATATAATAAGCCAAGTTGTAAAAACTGTTACGCATGAATTGAATAAAACTTACTTACTTATGCCTGTTACTCCTCGTGGAGGAGCATGGGCCGCTCACCAGCTTTCTCTATCAAACTCTGTTCTGGGCAATCCTCTCCAGTTGTTTCTAACTGCTATTCCTTCTTTTAATGCCTACATTAGATTCCCGACGCGATGTGCTATTTCGTCTTCAGGATTCCAAGTTAGCACTTGCCTCGTGATGCAGTTTGATGACTTCCGCAATACATGTCCTACCCACATCCAGTGTCTTTTCTTAATTTCCTCTTCACTTGGAAGTTAGTTTGTTCTCTACCACAGTAGGTTTTGCTGATGGTATCCAGCCAACGGATATTGAATATCTTCTTTAGACAATTATTGATAAATACTTGTACCTTCTTGATGATGGTTTTAGTAGTTCTCCACGTTTCAGCTCTGTACAATGGAACTGTCTCGACATTCGTATTGAAGATTCTGACTTTGATATTGCTTGACAGTTGTTTTGAGTCTCATATGTTCTTCAACTGTAGGAATGTTGCCCTTACTTTGCTAATCTTCGCCTTTACGTCCTCATCCGGTCCTCCTTATTCATCAACGGTGCTTACCAGGTACGTGAAAGTTTCCACATCTCACAGAGTTTCTCCATCAAGTGTGATTGGGTTGGTGTTCTCCGTGTTGTATTTGAGGATCTTGATTTTTCCCTTTGTGTATGTTGAGTCGTACTGATACACAGGCTGCTGCTATACTAGTTATCTTCACCTGCATTTGTTGATGTGTATGGGATAGAAGAGCTAGGTCATCTGAGAAGTCCAAATCGTCTATCTGTTCATTGTATTCCGTGCCTCCTCTGAGATGTGAAGGTCTTCGTAATCTAGTCAACAACCAGAAGAAAGAGGAAGGGGGAGCGTAAGCAGCCTTGTCTGACTGCGGTCCTCACTTAGAATGCATTTGTCAGCTGTCCTTCATGCATGACTTTGCATTGTAGTCCGTCTTATGAATTCAGGTTCACTAACCAGAAAAAACAAATCAAATCAAACCCAGAAGTTAATTAGTATTTTAAAATACATAATGAGCGTTATCTTATCCAATTTATTGTTTAGAGTTTATACATAAAACATGATTTCATTTATGAATCTGTATTTTCAGTCTTTACCCTCACTCCATACTTTTCGAACTGGTTTTTGTTAAGAAGAACTTTTGTTGGCTGATTATACGAAGGCGATTTTACTACTGATGATAAAAATATTCATCTGTTGACATGACTTTTTACCATGGCTAGTAGTGAATTTCAACCTAATATATGAAATTTCGTTAGGAACTGTTACGATCGTCTTATGAATAGCAATTAAACACTAACGTGAGCCTTTAATAGTAGAAAACGCAGTATTATATGTTTTGTGCAATCAATGATCCTAATATTGCCGGAAGATAAGTGCGTTCTTTAAGTTGAAATCTAACGTTTCCACTTTAAAAACCAAATATTCACTGTTATTTCAAATAACATATAATAGTGTTACATAAACACTGCTAGTAAACTGTATAAATTGTTTTATAATTCGTGATATTGAATGATGACTTATCTAAAGTCGAAACCACTCGTCCTGTAAATTGTATAAGCAACATTATTGGTTGATTAATCCCTATACATATCATTGGATCATGTATTATTTTCATTATACTTTAGATATTTCTCTGCTTTTAAAATGCTTGTGTTTACAAAATGCATGTCATTTAAAACATTTATTGTAGGTAAAATAAAAATGCTCTAAAATTCATTTTGTTCTTTTCATTTGCAGTTATGGGTAATCAAATACTTTCTTCTTGCTGTGCATTTAGCGCTCAGTTTTAGCTTGGTATTTGTCTTAGTTGTATTGTTAGCTGCATAACGTTTCCAGTATTTCTTCGGTGGAGTAAAATAAAGGAAAAGTCAACACTTTTACTTTGATCTTTTATGAAATCACTTTTTAACTAGTAAAACACGCAATCTATGTCATACTAAATAAAATGTATACGAACATTGAAAAGTTGTCTTTCTCTTTACCAGATCTTCACAATGTTACATTTAATTCAGTTCAGATTTCATGTAATGTTGATGTGATCAGTACAAAATGTTATTACTGTAACATTTTCTTTGTTGCTAACTTCACAACCTAGAAAAGTAACAAGTGCAGAAAAACGTAGTTTGTCTTCGTTTTTTAGAGCCGCGTACAAACGTCTTTTGGAAGTAAGTCAGTAATTTAGTCAAGGGAATTAAGGACCACTTTTATATATTAAAACGTTTTAAGTATTCTGATGAGTTTATGAAAGTATCCTGATACTTTTTGATAAACCATAGGCTTAACCATTAAATATTCTTAGTTATTTAGTATTGAGATATTTGATGTAATTCATCAACATCCCAACTAGAAATTCTAATTGTTTATGATGTATGTATAGTCTTAGGGAAGGTCTCGTCTCAATTTTTAAACTCAATGCTATACCTTGACAAAAACTAACCCTCTCATAAAAATTGAATGCCAATAAGTTTGCTATCAGTAGTTGTTAGTTGATAAATGAACTTCAACGAAAGTATCTTTATTTTGTCGACACTATCCTACCAAAAAGTCATTGTTGGAATCAACATAATTTTCATACACTTTCATAACATAGACTAAGCTATTATATTCTCACACCATTTCTTTTGAACCATCTTTGTTTAATTTGGCTGAAATTAAAATTTGCGTCTTCTTTTACTCAGCAACAACAATAACAGTAACAAATATGTGTAAACAACTATTCAGAATTTCTTGTCACATGATTCAATCTGTAAAAAGTGGAATACTGATGTGCATATTTATCTTTTGCACTTATAAATCACAGAAATATCACAGATTTTGCATATTAGTGATATTACTATTATCAAGGAATATTATGATTTGTGATCATTATTATAAATGTTGAAACCACTTTCTCTGAATAACAACTATGCAACTGTAAATTTTGAACTTAAATGAAAACAGACTTCGACGAAATAATTATTAACTCTTTAACACTTACACAGAATAAAATGATGAGATTTAGTTGTAATTATCCGCTCATCTTAAAATTGATAAATATAATTCATATTAAAAAAATTAATATACTGAGGGTCGTCATTGTGTACCTAAATTATCGTAGCTAGGATTTATCGAGTGTTAACAATGAAGTTTAACAATAAATAACTATGACTTGTCTTGCTATTTTTCTAATCAGAACAATACCTCAAATTACAGTTGATTATTGGTGAAATTGATTATTGTATATCCGTCTGCATATTTGTGGTTTAATTGCTAGTCAGTTCTGGTAAATGGATTACATTCAGTGAAATTAAAGTAAATGATATACTTTGCTTTGGAGCTCATAAGGATCTTAAATAGATGAATTATAATATATTTCGGGTGATTAGGCAGTCAGCAGTTAATATTTGGTCTAGGTTTCGTGATAAATGGAACTCGTCAGCAAGGCGTACCTGGGACCTCAAGGGAGCTGATTCTTTACATCAATCAAAGACGTGGTATTGATTACTTCTCAGTGATTATTTAATTTACATTAATATTTACTAAAATGGCATGTTATATTTAAATAACCGGGGACGTTAACTTAGGTGCATTTACTACTTTAGCTTTGGATAGTATATATATTATTTAGACAGTACGTAATTCGAACTTTAGCATCTTAAATGAGTTATATCAAAGAATAAGTTGGAGGATTAACTCGTTATTGTTGAGGAGAGTAACAAGTAGAATGTCAAAAACTTTAGCTATCTAACATCCTAAGTAATTCGGTTCCAATTTGTTCGTGAATTTAAAACAGCGATGGGAAATTGCGTTGACCAGATTTATGTTTTAGAGGCTACTGCTGAAGTGAGAACAAAATTAGTTCCAATCCTGTCATATTTACATTTTTCTATTTAATTCACTTTCTCAGGGACTAAAATCAATTTTATCAGTCTTTATCACTTGTGAATCACTTTATTATGTTTGCACACCAAGCAGAAGTTACAACGAATTTCCGTATATAACCCGAGGATTAGAATAATGAAATTAGTTTACCCCAATCGCAGGAAATAATTGAATGGAGAATAGTGGTGGGTCGCCTATGTTCCTCCACAAGTAACAGGCGTAAGTAAGTACATGTATTAAGTATAAGTCAATATATGAGTTGAAGTAGTACCTCGATAATAACAGTCGCTCTTAATTATAAAAGTGATATTATAAAAGCGGTAAGTTATTATTAACTGCTTCTGAATAAACCTTGGTTTTATATTTATGTCAATTATCCCGAATCCTTCAAAGTTACTCATTAATTGACCAAGAGTGATGCCTATTTCAAGTATTCACAAAAACTTCTTATGTGTTGAGTCACTTCAAGTAGTGCAGTATTTTCATCAATAAAATAATTCTGGTGTCAGACGATAGCATCCAGTTAATTTTTTCTATCTTTAAATCCAGAAAAAGCTTTTAAATTATTCATATTTGATATCTTCAATCAAATGGTCGAATACAAGTATTAATAGACACATCCAAGCATGAACCTACAAGGAGATTAGACTAATATTTGTTACTGAACGAGACAATACTAACTGTATTAGCTCTGAACTAGCTAAATATATATAAATCATATTTTTTTAGAATGACAAAACTTTCCTCAGTGAAGATAAATACAAAGATGGAGAAACTTTTTAATCGCTGTCACTAAGCTAAATCGAAAGTCAGTAATCTCTATTCTTAGCTGATTAGATTCATGCTGCTGCATGGTTGGATAACCGTAATGGAAGCCTCATTATATCTTTGAAAAGAACGGTGTTAGTTGGTTAAGCACTCTATCCACTGACTCAAAATATGAATGGAAAGCTATAATACTTAATAATGTGTTTGTACCGATATATTCAAAGTCAGTTTCCATTAGGTCCTACCTTATACAGAGTACCGATGGGAAAAGAGAATCATTGACCAATCTTTTTATCCCTGTTTATGATCAATGAAAGAACGCATCAACAACACAAATGGTAATAATCCTGTAAATCTCAGTTCTTCTGACACAATTTAGTCACATCACAAGAACGTGACCATCAATCTATATTAATGGTTTGCATCTAACTTACTAGCAGCTTGATTAACACTGCCGGTCACAGGTTCTCATTCAAATATTGAGATATCCGAATTCAGGTACTGAGTATTGCTTCGTTCGAAGACACCGTGTCACTGGTGAGTAATGCTAACG